GGCGGGGGGGGGGGAGCTCTGCTGGAGGAAGTGACCAGTGTTTTCTGTTTAAGAAGAGTGGGGGAGGACCTCCCAAACTGCATAAGACTGCTGAAAAGCTAACTGTTTTGAGAGTAACACCAGCCAGCCCTAAAGTCCCTTAAATGGGACACACACTTAGAAATTGCTGCTGCTTCTCTGCTCTGATTATAAAGCTATTCCTCCTCTGTACTCTGTGTGAATTAAATGTGGGGCACGGCTATTAAAATCCAATTCTAGCCTGCAGAAAGGAGTAGGAAGAAATCGGATTCATCTGTGTGTTATGCCAGCCCACTGTTATAAATTTGGATTTGGTATCCAAATTTATAACAGCGTACTGCTGGGGAAAGTTCTCGGACTGTACCTTTCAATCCCCTCTCTGAGAACATGCGACTCGCAAGTGCATTTAATGAGGATTTGCCATCCCTGGGAAGGCTCTAAATTTGGACTGCTTTCATCTTCTGTCCTTACTCTAACTCTCTTTATAACCTGGAGCAGTGATCACTCCACAGTGGGTTCCTAGCTATGTATAAGCCAAAGTCGGGGAAGGCATTCTATATACGTATTTCCATCAATTTAGGGAGTGTAGTATCATATCCATTTTTAGCAATGTGAGCTTTTATTAGCAGTTAAGGCATTAGAAATTACGAGTCCTTATCAGAGGTTTCAGTTCTGACTGACTTTTCCTGAGTAACAGAAGGCAATCCAAATTTCTTTTGCCATTTGTGAACACAAATTATGTGAGCACCCCCACCCAACTTCTAGGGATGCTAGGGTGACCGCTTAAGCATCTCCCCCAAGAAAAAGAGAACCGTATCACACAGAAATAGGCTGAAAGGGGTCATAGCTTTTCATAAATTTGCACACATTAATTTATATGTACAGATTAACATTTATAAATAATTACTATCATTTAAATAGAAAGGGAGTACATCTCACTCTAGTGTGCAAGACTGTGCCGAAGTGCCCTGTGTGCCTGCTCAGTGTGAATACAGCCTCTTTATTTGTTACTTGATTTATATTCCAGCCTTCCTCCTGAAGGAGCCAAGGATTGCCCGATTATTAATGAATAATCAGATTATTTTGTTTCCATGTGATGACCTGAGATGCATTTGTTTTATGATATACCCAGTACTACTTTGTTCTATATGGTTTGGTTTGTCAAACCATACTGTATTTTGGAAGGGTTTGCTAATTGTGATATCATGACCATAACAGTCTTGTTTTCCTCATTCATTTAATGCAATATTGGGATATTTCCCACGTACGGTACATGGACTTTAATAAAACCTTATGTACTTGGATTGCTTTTTGGGAAGGGGTTTGCATGGTTTGTTTTTCTGGATAATTAAGCAGAGTATTTTGGGAAACAGGAAAATCTGTGTAAAATGGTTGAAACCTTTGACCATTACTTATTTTTCATTATGCAATGTTGGCAAACTGAGCATTTAAAACTGATTTGGGATCCTGTTAACAACAACAACAACAACAACCCATCTGGCTGGGTTTCCCCAGCCACTCTGGGCAGCTCACAGCATATAACTAAAACATCAAACATTCAAAACTTCCCAATATGGGGCTGCCTTCAAATGTCTTCTAAAGGTCAGATAGTTGTTTATTTTCTTGACATCAGTAGGGAGGGTGTTCTACAGGGAGGGTGCCACTACTGAGAAGGCCATCTTCCTAGTTCCCTATAATCTCACTTCTCACAGTGAGGGAATAAGCAGAAGACCCTCAGAGGAGGACCTCAGTGTCTGGGCTGAACGATGGGGGAGGAGACGCTCCTTCAAGTATACTGGGCCAAGGCCATTTAGGGCTTTAAATGTCAACACCAACACTTTGAATTGTGCCCGGGAACACACTGGGAGCCAATGAAGATCCTTTAGGACCGGCGTTATATGGTCCCGGCAGCCACTCCCAGACACCAGTTTAGCTGCCGTATTCTGGATTAGTTGTAGTTTCCAGGTCACCTTCAAAAGTAGCCCCACACAGAGCACATTGCAGTAATCCAAGTGTGAGATAACCAGAGCATGCACCACTCTGGCGAGACAGTCTGCGGGCAGGTAGGGTCATCCGGCGTACCAGGTGGAGCTGGTAGACAGCTGTCCTGGACACAGAATTGACCTGCACCTCCATGGACAGCTGTGAGTCCAAAATGACTCCCAGGCTCCACACCTGGTCCTTCAGGGTCACAGTTACCCCATTCAGGACCAGGGAGTCCCCCACACCTGTCCGCCCCCCATCCCCCCAAAACGGTACCTCTGTCTTGTCAGGATTCAGCTGAAAGGCCACCAACATGGGATAAAACATCCCCTGCCACTCTTTGGAAACCAATTGGATCCATTAAGTGGCAGGGGCAGACCACCTGAATCAGTCCCACCTCCCTGCAGGGTCGCGGAGGGTCCAGTTGTACCAGGAGGTGATCCGACCATGGCACTTCTTTTGTGTCACTTCTACTTAATGTAAGATCACTCATGTCCATAGAGGTCAACACCAGGTTTATTCGATTGTGAGGGAAACTGTCTGGTCTTCCTTGTTACCCCAAAATATTTTATCCCTCAGTGTTACTCCACAACATGGGTGTATAATGATGAGTTATATCAGAATCAGAAGCAAAGCTGTGGTTGGAATTACTCCATTGTACATGCTGATTTTGAATTGTATTTGAATAATAATACATATAGGCTTATTAAAAACAAATTATTTATTGCTTACAATATGGCCATGAAATAGTGATTAAGGTTGCATAAGTTGTTCAGATGCAGAGTATTCTGTAGCAGATTGGTTAGTATGCAGACTCCCTTTATAAAACGATGATGGTATATGCTAATCTGTGGGGAAATATGTTGCCCAATATGTCAAGCATAATGGGGTATGCTGTATATACTTGGTTGTTTTTTGTGTATATTCTTTAAGCCAACAAGACCAGCCTTATTCCAGAGCATCTTGTAACTGGAGATGACAGTGTCATCATTGTAAAGTAGCTTTGAGTTACAAAGAAATACTGTGAAGGAGGCTACTGAAGTCATCCTGCTGAGAGCCTCATAGAGATGATCTCTTGAAACGAGAAGCACTAGTGCATTAGCTCATTTGTGAAGCTAAGCTCCCAACTCATAAGAAAACATGACAAGGTTCATCTAGTCCAGCATTCTCATTTCAGACATGGCAAGCCAGATGCCTCCATCTTTCAACAAGATATAGCAATTTGTATTACCTACTGAGACGATATAGAGTGTAGTGAGGGGAATAGTGTTAGGTGACAAGCAGGAAACAATGACTTGTCCTTAGCTGTCAGCTCGTTCCTCTTTCAAATCAGGAGAGTAATTGTAGCTACTTCCTCGCTGGATTGCAGAGTTGTTAATATAAATGTGCTGACAGATGTTAACTTTGGTAAAACAGGGGGAGGGTAAAATATGGAATTCTGCAAAAGGGACGACTAGTATTTGACATGGATAGATTGTGGAGCCTTGGATTTGAATTTCTGGATAGGGCATAGACTAACTGGTTCTCTGCTTCACTCTGATTCTGTAAAGTGGTGAGAGTTCACATTAAAAATAATTTTAATGAGTGAATGAGATATTGATAATGAAATAGTTTGTATATTAAAAGTTCTACACAGTATGAATAGTAGCTAACTGGGTGATCCCTGAAGAACTGAATTGTTAAAAATCCACTGAATTAATTAGCAATGGGCCTACTTTCTGATATGCTTGAAATTGGTTTTGCAAACAGCAAGGCTGAGTTTTGTGGCCTTATCTTCACCAAAATTAAGATTGGGGTGGGGGAGAACTGACAGTTGCAGTTTGAATTTGTAATGATTTCTGCTTTTATAAACTAATATTATATTATAATATAATATGCAATAATATAACATGAATCCCCCACTGCTATAGATAGGCACTGGGGATTTACAGGTGACTCCAAGCCTCTGCTTGCACCACGGCTGAGTGGTGCCTCCAAAGCCATATCTCTTTCCTGTGTGGGCTGCCACTGGCATCGCAGTACATCCCTCATAATATTCTGTTCCACCAGCCACTCATGAACAAATGCACTTTTCAACTCCTTGATGTTCTATTGATTGTTGTTCTTGTTTGATTGGTTGTTGTTGCTGTTTTTCCTCTACAGTGTGCGGGTGCGACTTAGCTCAAGGTGGCTTTTTCATTAAGAATGGAGATTACCTTTGTACTGTGGATTACCAGCGGATGTACGGGACCCGATGCAATGGCTGTGGGGAGTTTGTGGAAGGAGAAGTTGTAACTGCTCTTGGGAAGACCTATCATCCTAACTGCTTTGCCTGCACTGTATGCAAGTAAGTCATCTGATGTTAGATAAACCACTTCAGGACTGCAGACAGTACCAATGCAAAATAAGAGATGCATATTAAAAATTACATACATGATAAAACATTATATAAATGGTAAATAGTGGGGGGAGGGGTAACCTTCTCCCTAATACTATTTTCCTGCTGAAAATACTCTCTTCGTCCTCACCACTATTTGCCCCTGAAGCTGAGTGAAACAGAACCATATTATTATTATTATTATTATTATTATACAATAACAGTAACAGTAACAATATCATCTTTCTACTCCTGGGTTGGAAGTCAATTATAATTCATGAAAGCTATTTTCCAGTTACTATACTGTGAAGGGTTAAGTGTGAATGTAATTCTGAGTACATTGGAGCTTGGAAACTGAGCGAGAATCATTCCTGGTTAGTACTTGATTGGAAGGCTGCCTGGGAATACTTGGTGCTGTAAGCTTTTCCTTCTTATGTGAAAGGGTGTAGTTCAGTGCTGTTCCCAGGGGGCCTACACTACCCTGTGGCTGTTGAGAAGATTAGAAATTGTTCAAACTATGGGTCTGGTTGAGCACATCAGTTGCTGAGCATGAGCCATCTGATCAGCACTTAGAATAATAGAATCATAGAGTTGGAAGGGACCCTAAGGATCATCTAGTCCAACTACCTGCAATGCAGGAATATGCAGCTATCACTTATGGGGATTGAACCTGCAACCTTGGCATTATCAGCACCATGCTCTAACCAACTATGCTATCTTAACTAATTTAAAAGAAGCTGGATGTCCAGAATGCAAAAGACTGCTACGTGGTTGATTTTTGCATGAGCATAGAAAGTCCATTGGCCATATTTCCCAAATGAAAACCTTCATGTATGCTAGACTTTTAAAAGAACAACCTCTTCATACTGTTCCTGTGATATCTTTTTTTTGAAGCGAAACTATCAGGCAGTCTCATCTAACATCTGCTTCTCTTCCAGTGGAGGTGCATTTAGTCTTTTGGATTTTCTCCAAGTGCCTGGCTTTGCCAGTGTTGCATTTTGAACATTTTTGGCCCACATTCCTGCGAGATATTGATTTGCACCAAAGGCGGCGGCTGAAGAGAGATGAGAAAGAGACTGAAAGAATGAAACTCCACAGATAACCTTGAATTAAAATCCTTCTGTTCTTTCGTTCTCCAGACGTCCTTTCCCACCAGGAGACCGGGTTACCTTTAATGGAAGAGACTGTCTCTGTCAAATGTGTGCTCAGCCTATGTCATCCAGCCCAAAAGAACTCTCCAGTTCCAGCAGTAAGTACTCTGTAATCTTTTCCTAAACTACAAAATTGAACTCTTGGATAGCCTGCTCTCTATTTTGTACCATTTGTTCAGTATAACCTGAGCAGTGCTGATTTGTTTCTGGGGCTGCTTAGTTCTGCATTCTGGAAATCTGAGCACTACATTTTTAACCATGCATGGAGAAGGTATTTTGTGAATTAGTCTCTTGAGCTGATCCCATGACATGTCTTTTCTCTCAAAATGCACTCTAGTCCCTAGTGCTTTTGATAGTAGATGCCCCAGAGAATATACAACCTAGTTTTGCCCTGTTGGTGTAAGTGCTGCGATTCCCATTAAAAGAAAAAAGTGAAAGTGAATTTGCAATGTTTCAAGTAATTGCTACGTATAAAAAGAATTTTAGAAAACTGAAAATGACCTGAAGTCTAGAGAGTGGTAACATAACATTTGATCTCACAGTTCCCTTATTGTGACGGAAAATTTGTATCTAATATAATATTTAAAAACTGATTTGCTGTACACCGTGTGTTTCCCCTTCCCTTTCCCCAAAGCCATGACCTCTGGTAATGCTCAGCTTTTGGAGTACATCAACTAGACACTCTCTACAAGTGTTTTATAATAATTACTTGTATCTCCTGATATTTTGGTCATGTCAATACTTGGACTGATTGGAAAAAGAGTAAAACGTTACAGGAAAGGATTAGCTCTTTTCTGTTTTCTAAGTACAAACATTTCAGCCATTCTGAATTGCCTCCTGAGGTTTTTAAAATCTCTCAGTACTGCTGGCAGTTACTGGCAGTGATGGCTGATCACTCGTTTCTCACCTCTTGGTAGCTACTGTGGGGCATTTTCAAGGTCTGAATGAAATTCCAGATTTTTACAGTTGTGAAATTGGCAAATAATAACCCTATTGTAGTGTTATACGCAGTGGATATATGAGTTGTGGCTAGTTGGTTTGCTAGTTCAGGAATGCCAAAAGATCCTCAAAATCAGATTCTAAATTTTTAAATAAGAACTTCACAATTTCAGCAGTTGCACCTTTTTTTAATGTCATCTTAGGAATTAAATTGTAAATAACTGTTGACAGTAGTTTATAAAGAAGAAACAATTTTGTGATGATTATGTTAAGAGATATAGTGGCAAAGTAAACCAGCAATCCCATCATCCAAAGACGTATGTGAGTACATTTGTTGAGAGAGAGAGAGAGAGAGAGAGAGAGAGAGAGAGAGATTATACTATACAGGTAAAAATTCTGGTGGTCATCTGTTGTCATTGTTGAAGGGAAGTATAAGATAATGTTAATGCCAAGTTTTGCTAAGAACACCAGATGCTAATTCTGCTGGAAAATGAAGTTGAATAGAGTTTAAAAAGCAAACTTCAGAAAAATGGTAGCTGGCAAACATTTGTCTTCCACATCGCTTCTCTCGTGTGATGGTTCCTACTCTCCTGCTCTGACAGGTGAATTTTAATTAGTGCAAAATATTCCAGATCTTCCGCTTCATTCCAAAGCTGCAAGCCTCATCAATCTTCCCTCTCCTTTTGAAGTCATGTTTTGTAATGTAGCCCTGTTCAGAAGTAAATCTCTTTTATACGATGTGTCTCTGTTACTTGGTTACTTGCTGTTAAGTAGATTAGCAAGAAAGCTTATTTGAGATAGGTAGAGAAAGAAGGATGCTAAAATTTTTCAATTGCCTTAGTTGTAGATTTTAGATAAAAGAGGATTATTGTATCTTCCAGTGAAATTTCTGTTGTATGTTTATGGTGATAATATTGGGTGTTTGTCTTTCCTTTTTAAAAGTATAGGTAGTTGAATATTTTAGCTGTGATGAAAGAGAAAGTGTATATTTTCATACAAGGGCTATGTGTGTTAAATCTCTCAATAAACACAACTCTATCATTCAGAACTCAGTGATATAATAAGATTGAAGGTAAAATAAATGCACCCCCATTAGTTTCTAATTCATTAATTTCGAATTCAGAGGAATGGATGAAAAAAAGGAGCAAGTAAGCTATTGAATGGAAATCCTTTCCTTCCATCGGTTTCTGACAGGAAGGATTCAATACTGAAACTGACAAGAGACAATGCATTGAATCTTGGGAGTACAGTACTCTGAAAGTGACAACTTTTGAAAACTGTCCAGTATGGAACATAGAAACATTGGCTCAAAAGCCTTCAAAAGGTCTCTGAGGCGCTGCAAGTTGGTACACCTAAGGAACATTCTGCAGAGAGGGGGGGATCTTGGAGTGCCCTGGGAGCGACAAAACAGGAGCAGTTTTCAGGTGCTCACAACTATGCAATTAATGATTGCATAGAGAGCAAGGACACTGGAGGAAACATCTTTATGTACATAGGGTTGTCTCTTGAGTGGGAACCTTGAATGTGCAGGACTTAGGCTGGAGATGACACAATGGCAGGGGAGAGCCCCCGACACCTATCTGGATGGGGCACCGATGCTACAATTCCCTCATTGGGGCCTTAGTGGAACCTCTGCTGTCCTGCAACACCACAGCACTGAAAGGGTGAGCGGACTTGTCACCCTTTCGTTGGTTGCTTCTAAAATGAAGATCCTTTGTTCAGTTTGCCTCAAAGATAGTAGGTCTGATGTCCATGGAGAGCAGTCCAGAACCTGAAATTTTAATGCCATTTAGACAGAAAATGCCAAGGTTATAGGTAACGGATTACAGTAACTGCAGAGTTACTTCATTGTGAAGCCAGAGCCAAGGGAATTGTAATAGTTTGGAACTATGATCTCTACTCGTCAGATATAATAACATGTTATTTACATAATAGCTTATAGAAAAAAATAAACATTTCCATCCAGGAGCTCACTCTTTTTCAAATCACTTTAGCTCTTGGTGTTCTCTCCCTCTCCCGCCCCCCCTTCTATCTGTCACACACACACACACGTATGACCAAGTCAAAGGAAAATGAGAGTTCAGAATTTGCTATATTGAAAGATAACTGAAATGGTTAAAAATCCATAGAGGCATATACTGAATGAAAATGAGGAGGAGGAAAGGAATTTGGGAAAGAGTACTGCTCAGGAATTTAGGTGTACACAGGTTCAATTCACTGCTCCATCCCCTCAATCTTATGAGATCTATTATAAGCACGAAGACTATTCTAATTTTATGAAGTTAAGCTTGTTGAGAATGTATAAATGCTATACAATGGGTTCTGAAATACAATCAAGCTGTTTGTCACGTAGTAAATGCAGAATACTTGTCTGCAGAGACTTTTTGACACTTCTTCTTTGGAATTCCTCTAACACATACATGCTTCTGTAGAAATGGCATGTTTTTTCACGATTTCTTTGTTCCTGTTGACTGTGAAAAGACCTTGATAATGAGGATGCTGCATTGTTTCTGTCCATGAGCATGAGAACTCTGCCTTTATGTCTTTGTTTATGGAGAGAGAAGAGATCCAGCCACCACTGAACATTCTGAGTCCAAAGCTTAGTCATCTTGGTTACTGTCCCAGTTTGCACACTAATTGAAATGGAAACCAGTCTTTGTAGTGAAAGCAAAAACCAAACAAACAAAACAGAGCTCTATTGTCTGTTCCAAGGATCAGCTCCAAAATATTACTTTAACCTGGTAACAATTTATGACTGGAATGATGCCTCTTCTTTGCCTGAAATGAAGAGTGAAAATCTTTAATACTCTGGCTGTCCTCCCAACTCCCTGATCTTTTATCAGGCCTCTTTCTGTTTTATAACTCCTATTCTGACAACACTTCCAGACCACAACAATAGCATCTCCCTGTGTCCATATTCTCTTTGTGAACAGAGATCCCCAAACATGGAACATCAAAATTATGCTACTAGGGTGCCCTCTAGATGTTGTTGGACTCCAACTCCCATCAACCCCAACCAGCATGGCCAAGGATCAAGGATGATAGTGGTTGTAGTCCAATATCTTCTGGTGCGCAGCATTTTGACTACCCCTGAACTAGGGTCTTTATTGTTCAGTCATATTGTCATGGTTTTCCACTGTTTAGAATGAAAGATTTCCTAAATCTACTAAAGATTTGAAATAGAATAGAATTTGAAAAGGAGCTGCTTTGGAAGCAAATTGGATCTTCTTGTACACTGAGAGGGATCAAAATATCATGGATCTAAGAGGTTTCTACGTGTTACAAGTGGGAAGATTAGTAGAGAGAAAGCTATCTTTTCTCCATCCCCCCCCCATTAGCACACTTGCTTAAAATGCATATTAAATTTACTTACAGAGTGCATTTGTTGTTATTGCCTAACACCTTGAATTTTCTTTAAAGATCTTGGATTTGATTGCTCAGTACATTTATAAAATTGCACAATTGGCTCAGGGGTAAGTTAACAGCTCAGAATCAGGCAATAGGCCCAGTTTTATCACTCGATATGTACTCACAATTTTCCATCTTCTTGAAGACTGAGATTTGTTGATAGCATCCTTTGAAATCAGCTCTTTATATTTGTAGTTTGAAACAATTGCATCAATTACTA